AAGGAAGGAAGGAAGGAAGGAAGGAAGGAAGAAAAGAAAAAGAGAAAGAGAAAGAGAAAGAAAAAACAAGATTCTTAAGATTAGGACAGGTGGAAATTCAGCTAGGTCACCTAGATTTAGTAACCTAGGTCTAGTTCCCACTCCCCACCCCACCCCTGCCCCAGGTACTTAGGTAACACATTGGGTGGGGGGATCCATCCAAGGATTTGTTGTCACTGGGTATGATGGTTCATGCCTGTAATCCCAGCCCTTGGTATTTGGAGGCAGGAGAATCAGGATTTTGAGACCATCTCAGCTACATAGCAAGCACCAGATAAGCCCAGGCTACATGCCCCCGCCCCAAGGGGAAAAAAAAAACCCAACAGCAAAAACAAAGAGAAGGGACTGAAGGAGGGGAGTGCGCCCACACCCAGGGGCCTGTTAAGAGAGGGGCTGTCCCTTTCTGCCCCCAGATCTTCACTCGAATGGGGCAGTGCTACACCTTCAACTCCGGCCTCCACGGGGCAGAGCTGCTCACCACTCCAAAGGGTGGCGCTGGCAATGGCTTGGAGATTATGTTGGATGTACAGCAGGAGGAGTATCTGCCCATCTGGAAGGACATGGGTGAGGGGCACAGGGTCATTTGCCTGTGAGGAGGGATGAGGGTGGAGGTATGCATGAGGCTGGGAAATCACAGAGATCATGGGAAGGAGGAGGCAGGTGTGTAGGGAGGAGCCCCAAAGCACGTCTTCTTGTGAGAAGAGGGAGGGCCGGCTCTTCCAAATCCTGAGGAGAGGGACTGCCACGTGAGTCTCTCCTGGGAGTGGAGTGTCTGGGGCCTTAAAGGCCCCTCCCTGCAGAAGAGACCCCGTTTGAGGTGGGGATCCGAGTGCAGATCCACAGCCAGGAGGAGCCCCCTGCCATTGACCAGCTGGGCTTCGGGGCAGCCCCAGGCCACCAGACTTTTGTGTCCTGCCAGCAGCAACAAGTATGTTGGTTCAACTGCCTGTGCCTCCCACCCTCTCCAAACTCCTACCTCCTCAGAAGACCCTCAGACCCCAAGCCACGGTGCCTCAGCTTGTTCCTGGGGCCCTCACCCCAGCGACCTCTCTTAACCCAGTCTCCTCAACCTTGTCCCTCCACAGCTGAGCTTCCTGCCACCACCCTGGGGTGACTGCAATACTGCATCTGTGGACCCCGACTTTGATCCAGAGCCCTCTGATCCCCTGGGTTCCCCTAACCCCAGCCCCAGCCCTCCTTATAGTTTAATAGGGTGTCGTCTGGCCTGTGAGACCCGCTATGTGGCTCGGAAGTGTGGATGTCGAATGATGCATATGCCTGGTAAGGGGCAGGGGTCTGTTGGGAGTAGGGAATGGGGGTGCCCTAGGGGGCGCTCTCGGGATCCGTTCTCATCTTCTATCCTAGGAAACTCGCCAGTGTGCAGCCCCCAGCAGTACAAGGACTGCGCCAGCCCAGCTCTGGGTAAGGGCACAACCCTTCAGCCTCCCTCCCGTTGATCCCAACCCTCTGGCCGAGTGGTCCTGACCCCTGCTTTGCGGCCTGCCTGCAGATGCCATGCTGCGAAAGGACGCGTGTGTCTGTCCCAATCCGTGCGCCATCACGCGCTACGCCAAGGAGCTCTCCATGGTGCGGATTCCTAGCCGCGCTTCAGCTCGCTACCTGGCCCAGAAATACAACCGCAGCGAGACCTATATCGCGTGAGCGAGTGGTGGAAGCGAGACTGGAGGCACCGTGCCTGTGACGGGGCGGGGTGGGGGTGGGGGCCTCCGAGCAGGAGCCCTGCACACAGCCTAGGATGGATTCATCTCCACATCATAATCGGTTCTGGGACTCTGGGCAAGCTGCTTAAACTTTCTGACTTGGGGGATGAGAATAACCCAAGGTTCTTGAGCATAACCCAGAGCACCCACCCACACCTACTTCCAGCTGGTGCCAGGTGGTGTCCAGCAAGCAATTCGGGCTTCTTCTCCTCCAGGGAGAACGTTCTGGTTCTGGACATCTTCTTTGAGGCCCTCAACTATGAGACAGTGGAGCAGAAGGCTGCCTATGAAGTGTCGGAGCTGCTGGGTGTGTATGGAGAGCCTGGGTCTGCAGAGGTGTGGATAGGGCGGGTGACTGTGAGCTGACAGCACTCTGCCTCCACAGGAGACATTGGGGGACAGATGGGACTGTTTATTGGAGCCAGCCTGCTTACCATCCTCGAGATCCTTGACTACCTCTGCGAGGTGGGACAGAACCACAGACATGATGGGGAGGGATTGGGCCACCAGTGTCCAGGGAGGTGGATGCTGGCCACCTACTCCTGCCACTTGCCCCCAGGTTTTCCGAGACAGAGTCCTGGGGTATTTCTGGAACAGAAGGGGCTCTCAAAGACGCTCTGGCAGTACTCTGGTAATAGTCCCCTTGCCCTCCCCCACCCCTAGCATCATCTGGTCCAGGAGCTATGTGCAGCCATCTTGGCTGGTCTCCACCTTCTCCCTCTTCCCACAGCTTCAGGAAGGGTTGAATGGCCATCGAACACACGTTCCCCACCTCAGCCTGGGCCCCAGGTAATATGAGACATGCCCCGTAAGGTCGAGGGGCAGGAGGTCAAGAGGAGGACACTCAGGTCTCTCTAGGGCGGAAGAGGTGGAAGGGCCCTGCCCCAGTGCTGTGGCTTGTCCCGCAGGCCTGCCACCCCTCCCTCTGCTGTCACCAAGACACTCTCTGCCTCCCACCGGACCTGTTACCTCGTCACAAGGCTCTAGACCTGCTGTGACCACGCGGCTGCACCGTGACATCCTGGGCATGTCCAGTCTGTCCATCTTTGCTGTCTTCACCCTAATAAAGCTCTAGTGCATGTGCCTCAGGTGTTTGCCTTACAGACCAGACATTAGCAGAGTCAATGCCAGCCTCCCCACCTCCATCCACTATCCAGTTGGGACCTGGTCCCCAGTTAGGCTTTACAGCTCTCTGGGGGGGGGGGAATTTAAAAAGAAGATCAATCAATTGCACCTTCATGTTAACGAGCTTATCAAACCCATTTTAATTTTTTTGATTTTTTTTTTTTTTTTTTGAGTAATGGGGACTGGGCCCAGGGTCTGGAGGACTCCTGCTCTGCAAGTGTTCTCCCCCAGAAGTACACCCCATCACTGTTGTTCTTCTGAAGCAGGGTCTCATCTACTTCAGGCTGGGGGTGAACTGGGCAGCCAAGGATGATCCTGATCTCCTAGCCTTTCTGCCCACACCTCTCAGATGTTGAGATTAGAGGCACGTACCACCACGTTTGGCTTCCCAGCCCTTTTTGTATCTTGTTTATTTAGAAACAGAGTCTCACTAAATTGTCCAGATTGACCCTGCACTCTGCTGCCCACACTGGCCTTGCGGCTCTCCTGCCTCAGGCTTGTTGGTAGCTTGGAAGACAGGCCTGTACCCCCAGGCCTACCTCCCAGCAGTATCTAAGAAGGCAGTCTCTCCATGCCCAGAGCTCAGATGTGATGGTCCACGGCGAGTAGTCGCTGTACCAAGAGTGTAGAGCCAGAACGGGGTTCTAACTAGCTCAGCGAGAAGGCGGAGGTGGCTGGTTTACACTAGCGGTCTCTGTCCTGCCTGCGCACGCAGGTCACGCTATGGGAAAGTTCTCGCCTTTCCCACCTCTCCGCAAGAGCTGACAGCCTGCTTGAGACAATGGCACTGAAAGCGCCCTGCCTTTCCCTTCCTGCCCAGAGGGCACCACTGGACCTCTGCCTCAGCTCCAGTCTTCTTTCACTGTACCCCAACCACTGGAAAACTGGCAAACGGGGCCTGAGAAGGGCTGTTCTTTTGAAAGAGACCCTACACAGCTCCGAGTTTCTCCTGCCCCAGCCGACAACTCCCAAGTGTGAAAACAGAGGTGGAGGGCGCTCTATACAGAAATGTGGAGACACCCATAGAGAGGCCCGGCCCATTCTCCCCATTCTGGTGGAGGCTCGCTCAACTTTGCACTCAGGCCAGCGGCGTCCGACCTCAGAACTGTTACCTGGCCTTTCTAAGCAGAAGAGAAAAGTGTGCAGGAGTATGTGGGCCTGCATGTGGAGACAGAGCTGCCACGATACAATCAAAAGGGTGGGGATCACGGCCTCCTGTCCCCAGTCTCATGACATGTAAAGAGGCAGAGCAGACAGGGAGCAGCTCGTTGCCCGAGCTGTAGGCAGGGTCACAGAGGGTGGTAAGTCAGAGCAGGGGTCCCCCGCCACCCTTCAGAGCCACCCCACCACCATATCAGCAGACTGTGGGAAAGGAGCCAATTTATGAAATTAAATAAAGTCCACGGAGGGAGTGAAAACCAGGGGCCAGGGTGACTGTACCCTGGCTGGGCCCAGCACAGCTGGTGCTCAGGATGCCCCACACCCCACTTTTCCACCCTCCTGTGAGGGGGGCTTAAATAGACCAGGCCCCAGCCTGGCCGCCAGGGGTCAGAGAGCCTAGGGGGGACAGAAGTCGGAGAAGTAGGGGTGCTGCAAGGCCTCCTCTGCCGAGATGCGCTGCACAGGGTTGCATTTCAGGAGGTTCTGCGGGGGGAAGACAGGCAGAGGCCGAGCTCAGACCAGAACGACCCGCCATCGTCTTGTCCCTCGGGGCAAGCTCCACAACCCCCAGTTTCTTGGGCAGGCAAATGCCCCCATCTGCTCCTGCCCCCAGGCACCTACCTGCAACAGGTCTCTCCCCGTGGCATTGAGCTTGGGTACGACGTTCACCAAGGACGTTGTGGCCGGGTACATTGGGTAGGGCTGCAGAGGAGGGCCGGGCAGAGTCAGGCCAGAGGCATGGAGCACAGAGTTGGAAAACAAAAGGGACCTCTGATAAACCAAGACCTCCCACAGCCAGTCATACCTTATAGTCCGGCAGCTTGGTCATGGCGGGCCACTGCTCCTCGGTCGGTGTTCCTAGCAGTGTGTCCATGTGGTCAAGGGTCACTTGTGGGCAGGGTTGCGTCTACACCTCAGGGACAAGGGGGAGGATTCCTCACTCCTGCCTGCCCTTCTCTCACACCATCTTACTCTATCCCCCAGCCCAGCCTGAGATGAACCCCATTTTTATGGTGTTTACAGTGGACCAGGAAAATCCAACCCCTGGTGCTGGCGGTCCTAACAGACAGTCATTTTTTTCTCCACGAACCCCTTCTCCTTTATCCTGAGGCCCACTGGAGAGACTTCTAATGACCTCATCAGATGTGCCATCCTCACCACCAGGCCACATCTCTCCACAGTGTGACCCCACGCAAGGACAATATGGAGGGTAAGCAATGGCTACCTCTCACGCCTGCTCTACGCTCCATGCCCACTCCCTTTCTACAAAGAGGTGAAGGAGAGTGGACTAAGGGCCCTGGAAGGATATCGAAAGATCCTCTTCAGCTGGTCATCCACATCATTGCCAGGGAAGAGAGGCCGCCCCGCATTAGCCAGCTCTGAGAAGAAAACAGGGATAAAACAGAGCACATGAAGGACCCATCATTCTGAGGTGCCCCTGTGCCTTCCAGTCCCAGCCCCAAGAACCCCTCTCCCTTCCCTCACAAAAGATCCTCCAGACCCTACTTGTTAACCCAACTGGGAAAGAAAGTGCCTCTGCAGAACCCCAATGTGTCACCTGCAAAGATGCAGCCGGCTGACCACATGTCGATGGACGTGGAGTACAGCTTGGCCCCAAAGAGGACATCCGGTGGGCGGTACCACAGCGTGACCACCTGGAGAAGACCCCACCCACAGGGACCCCCCCTCCCACTTAGAGAGCTGGAAGGAGGTCCAGGAGGCGGCTCAAAGAGCAGAGGAAACAATGTGGTGTAGAGAAGCCACTGGGGGACTCCCTCCCTTCAACCTCACATACCACATCCCAGGCTCACCTCAGCAGAGTAGCAGCGGACTGGGATACCAAAGGCGCGAGCCAGGCCAAAATCAGCCAATTTCAACTCCCCATTCTGAGGGGAGATAACACAAAGAGGACATGGAGAAGACTTTTAAATGGTTTAGGGCAGGCTCCAGCTTCCTTCGCCCCATCCTACTCTCTCAATGCTCCCCATCCCGGACTCAGCTTCTGTATTCTCGCTCCCTGTTCCCAGAGCAATACCCTGTTTATGAGCAGGTTCTGGGGCTTCAGGTCCCTATGCAGCACGTTGCGGCTGTGACAGAATCCCAGGCCTTTCAGCAGCTGGAAGAGGAATGACTGGGGAGAAGCAAAGAAGAAGGAGTCAGACCCACTGTGCCCTATAAGCTGTAGGACTTGGGGCAAGTCAAGAGGTCCATCCAATTACTCTGTAATTTAGTGTGTGTGTGTGTGTGTGTGTGTGTGTGTGTGTGTGTGTGTGTGTGTGTGTGTGTGTACACGTGTGTGTGTCTGTGTCTGTGTCTGT